GGTGATGAAAGATCTCTAGTTGCGTGTCAACGTAGCTTCTATTAGATTCAGGGCTACCAGTACAGGTCTCGTTTCCTAGAATTGGCTCACTAATATCCCCATCATACTTGGGACTTTGCAGCATCGGACCACTATTTTGTTCATTTCGGGATTCATAGAACTCCTTGGCCCGGACATGGCTGCGAAATGAAGCCATCAAAAAACTGTTTACACAGACACAAAAGGATGCTCAGATCGCATAAAAAATGAATTAATATTCAACTTATCTGGTAAACTTGGCTGCACACAGAAAAAACAATCATTAAAAAATGAACAAAAAACCACAGCCTAAAGTTCAAACATGCAAAACAATGCTACAATGAAAAGAAACATGGTGTGTATAAATAAAATAAAATAAAAACAATAAATGAATTGATGTTAATACTGTATTTGTTCTAGACCCCAGATCCATCAGACTAAATCGTCAAAAATTCAACCAGATCCGGTAGGAGTATCAGTTACTCCTGGTAAGAGTTGGGTATTCGGGTTTAATGCAAGAAAAAGACAGTAAATCAAGGAGTTTTTTGGGGACAGAGACAATGTTCTAAACTCAGACAAGCTTCGAAGCACACAGTTTAAAGCTAGAGACAGATATTATTATATTTCCCTGTTATCCCAATTATTAAAATCATGTTAACCAGGTTTGAAGGCATAAACAAATATCTGAGGCCATTTAACCATAGTGACCAAAGAAATTAATGGTAAATGACGAAACTGATACCTGAACAAGGCACTGTGACAGCTAAAAGCATGCGATAAGAGCAACACAAAGAGACCCAGTGCAGGATGCACAAGGCACACCAAGGCAATGGCAATCATTGACGTAATAAGCAGAGGCTTTGCCCTTAAAACTCTTACCACCTAACGCAGGAAAAGGCAGACAATTAACATAAATTAAAGTCAAATAATTGAACCTAAGTAACTAATAAAAAAAAGAATAGTAGGATTCTATAAGAAATGAGTTGAAAGTACAACCATAAATAAGTTCCGTAATTTAGAAAGCAAAAACCTAAAGCATGAGCCTCTAAATTTCAATAAGGCAGCTGGTCAATGATATCTCATGAGCAACATTACCTTGGTAGATGCAAAGCTGGAGGACTTACTCATGAACCATTGGACAAAAGAAAAGCAAAAGTTTCCTTCACACAAGTGCCACCTGCAAGTTAAGCTAATTTCAGCCTGTAATAAAATTGATCTTTTTCAAGTGTTATGATGACTCAAACACAGTGAACTAGAGAGAAAATACACACACACACACACAACCACACATGGGTTACTAACCGTTTCCTGAAAAATACTTGGACAGTGCCAGCCACATAGAAAAGCAACAGGGAAACTAATATCAGCACGGCTACAGCTCCATTTGCAAAAACGTAGCAAAGTACTGAAACTGCAAAGAAACTTATAATTGGAGGAATGGGCTGGGAGCCTAGGAAAGAAAGGAGCACAGCAAGCAGAATTGGCAGTGTGGCAAGTAAGAAAAATGGCCATGGCATTCTCAGGTTTGATTCAACGGCAGATAGCAATGAAGGTATGGGCTGATCAAGTTCCCATGCATATGCCTGCCTCATCAGAGCAAAAAATGCAACAGCAAAGCAAAGGCCACTGATCTGTCGAGCTAAAAGATCATGAGAATCTACCAATTATCAAAGAATATAGAGCCTATAGGAAAATGTCAATGGTGAAATCTCAGAATCCGATGCTAAAAGTAAATTGTAAGCAGTTCTTCATTATTTTATCAGGGCTTGTGTTGCACCAAAAAGAAGAAAAAAAAAA